GAAGTCCTTGCAGCTTGTTGGTCTTTACTGTTTGGGTGCACTTGAATGGGACATTGAAGTTGCGCTGTTTCTTGTCAGAATATGTTCTCCCTGTGTACGCAATATGCCGCCGGACAGTGAGCGTGGACAGGACGCTACACTTCAGAGTTTGGGGGTTCTTCGTGTCCTCCACAGACGCCTCCGGGGGATAAAGCTGATATCAGATGTGTCCCCAGCCCCTGTGGAAGCCTCAGTGCTGTTCCTGCCAGAGCACCCCCGGGCCACTTGGGTTCCGCATCCTCAGGAACTTATGTCCAGAGTGAGATGCCTGGGAGTGTTCTGTCTGCATTCCACCCCCAAATTCTAAACATGCCTATAATAGAAAGAAAAGCTGAAAGGACTCCACCTCCAGGATTGAATTTTCTGGAAAAATCTCCTTGAGAATCAGAAATCAGGACCCCTGTGGTCAGATTGGTCAGGAACCCCAACCCAGCCCATGTCCATCCCCTTAGGAGGTGACCAGGTGACAAGAACTCCCAGGTCGCAGTCAGGCTGAGGGCATTGACATCAAGCCTGTGTTTGAATTCGATTTACTCCGTGACCGCCGACAGGTGACCATCCTCTGTACTATGGAGTCTGTTAGGTACTAGTGTCAACAGCAGTAATAATGGCTGTCCTGGTTGCTGTTGGGGATCGAATGAATCATGTGTTAACCACCTGGACTCCCAGTACTCCCCCTTTTCTCTGCCCGCAACAGAATTCTAGGTCTCCCTCTCAGACACAGCTTGTCGAGTTCCTTCACGTGGCACATCCTTCCTCCCTGGCCCCACGAGAGGCCTGTTTTTGTCTTCTACACCTCCTTGAGACCCTGCCTTGACCACCCTCCGCCCTCCGCCCACACCCCCACAACTCCCCACCCCCCGTACTCTTCCCCCTCTGAGCTGCTCTGGAACCCTATGCAAGCTTTTATTACTACATTTATTAGCCTGAATTGTAGTTTGTTGGTAGGTCTGGCTGTGGTGGTCCTTGAGAACAGGATTTTGTCTTATTTTTCTGTGTTTCCAGTACCCAGCTCTGTGTCCTCCCTTTTCTTTTTAAAGTATTTGTCTCTAAGATGAATCCTTTAGTCTTTAGGTCTTTAAAGACCATTCATTAGAGCGGTTAAGTTCACAGGTTTCATGTATTTTGAGATGATGAGGAATTTCAAAGCAGACTGAGAAGAGAGGAGTTAGGTAATTTTTAGAAGGAGACTCTTGATTATTTTTTGGTTTTGTGGACTTGACAGGGAATTAATTATTGAAAGGTACCTTTGCACACCTTGGCCTTGCTCTTTCACCTTGAGTAAAAATGCACAATTTTTATCGGAATCCCTTTGCAAAGTTCTCTTCTGATTCTGTTAGGTATCTATTACAAGCAGGTTTTCTTTTCTCACCCTGAGACATTTACCCAGTTGGAGGACATCTTAGAACTAAGTAGTTCTTTGAAAAACTTACTGAGATCTTTTAATTTTCAAAAAACTTTCTGATGATTTCTTGGTTACTTAGCATTCAGTTCCTTCTTTTTTTTTTTTTTTTTTTTTATTGTGCCGCTTCTTTCCATTCCTGTCTGAATGGGCGAGCCCTTTCAACTGTCCTCTGTTGACTTTCCCCTATTAACAGCCCAATTGTGTAATTTTTACTAGGTCAGCAGGAGATTTGCCAAAGCACTACAGAATCTAGCCCCATGTTTATTCTAGGTTATGGAGTGACTTTTGAATCTGTACTTATTTATTCTGCATACTATAATCACACACAGGAATTTCTTTCTGCCTTACTCTCCTTGACCTTTTATGTTACTGTGCTCGCACACCCCACAGGCTACTCCAGAGGCTATTTGGAATGTGCCTATTAAAAACCTCAGGGGACGTGTTTGAAATTTTATTTCATGTTTTAAAGGTGACATTTTGATATACCCAATCCACTTTACGTCTAAATATTCTGAGTATAAAATCAGAGTAGCGTGAAACTCTTAGAAATGTTCTGAATGGGGAATGTTTGTTTTCAATTAAAACATCTCAAGTATATTCTGTATTCTGCCTTTGTAGATTTGGTTTGGTTAGGTTGCTAGCAAGACGCTCATTTCATTCCTGTGTTTGTACATCATGGGTTCATGAAATTCTAAGAGATGAAAAGAATCAGAATGATGGGGCCTGCTCTAGTCAAATAGTCTCTTAATGATGGAAGAGAAGCAAAATGATGAGAAACTCCAACATCTATTTCAAGTTTAAACACTTCAATAGGGAATTGAAAGAAAGATGTTGTTTAAAGCCTCTTTTATTTTCAGAGCAATCCTCTGACTGGGAGGAGACATATTGGTGACCTCTACTTTTTTTTTCCCCATGTTTCCAGGCGGCTGTAGTAGTGGTATTCAATTTTGCTATGGTTCTGCTAATTTTTCCTGCGATTCTCAGCATGGATTTGTATCGACGTGAGGACAGGAGATTGGATATTTTCTGCTGTTTTACAAGGTACAGTTTCATGAGCTGCTATGGCCTTTATTTGTTGGGTACAGAGTGGTAGGTTTAGAGAACTCTTTAGCCTGTAGACTTGGAAGAAAATGTAGCTAACAGGGCTTGTTACCAGTGTGATGGAGGCAGATGAGATAATGGATGGAGGATGCTTTGTTGGGGATATCGAGTCACAGGCTCTCCCCTCCCCTGACTAAAGACTCACAGCTCTGGGGTTGTGATGCACATGCTCACTATTTCTGTTATGGATTGCTTTGGCTGATTATTGGGAGTGTATCATATCTCTGTTGAGTCAGGCAGAACAAAGGTTTGAAAACCAACCATCCAGAAAAAATACAGCCTTTTGGGTGTTGTGGGGTTTTTGGAGGGAGGGGTTGTGTGTTTTTTAGGAATTGTGCTTTGAAAGGGGTTCATCAGCATGTAACTTTGATTTTGCCAGCCAAATTCAGTATCGGCCATCCATTTGGCCTCCTTTGACTTACTAGTGTCTTGTGTCCAGGTGGTTAAATCAGGCGATGTTTGTGGAGCTCAACAGTATGATATTTTTCTTCTAAATTAGAGCTATGTAAAATGGATACTGTCAGCCATTGGCAAAAATGAAAGCACTGTTTCCCTGTTTCAGTATACCATTGCAACCTATTTTCCCCTTTAGCCCCTGCGTCAGCAGAGTGATTCAGGTTGAACCTCAGGCCTACACGGAGACTCATGATAACACCCGCTACAGCCCCCCGCCCCCCTACAGCAGCCACAGCTTCACCCATGAAACCCAGATCACCATGCAGTCCACAGTGCAGCTCCGCACAGAGTACGACCCCCACACGCATGTGTACTACACCACTGCTGAGCCACGCTCTGAGATCTCCGTGCAGCCTGTCACCATGACCCAGGATACCCTCAGCTGCCAGAGCCCCGAGAGCACCAGCTCCACAAGGGACCTGCTCTCCCAGTTCTCCGACTCCAGCCTCCACTGCCTTGAGCCCCCCTGCACCAAGTGGACACTTTCATCTTTTGCTGAGAAACACTATGCTCCTTTCCTCTTGAAACCAAAAGCCAAGGTAATCTACCAAAACAGAAGATTCTTCCTGTCTTCAAGAAATAACAAAACAGTCTCCTTTGGAATTCATCAGGTTGCTTCTTTGGGTGTGACTTATTTCAGGCCTCCTAAAAAGTCAGTCCAATTAGCATGTGGGGCCATCTTAATGAGCTCATCTTCTACAGGAGTGAATCTCTATGTAGCAAATGTTTCTGTGAATTTAGATGAACTCCTTATGTTTTAAACATTTTCTTTTTCATGAGCTTGTTTTAAAATGTGATTACTATGATTACTTGCTTTTCCCTCTGGAGAATGACCCCTACATGCTTCATCAGGGCCATTTTGGGGGTAAAAGTGAGGTCTGAACCAAACAGCTTGCTTTTGTCAAGAGGTCCTGTCCTCTGGCTCTGATCTTATGCCTCTTACTGTTACAGGTCGTGGTGATCTTCCTTTTCCTGGGCTTGCTGGGGGTCAGCCTTTATGGGACCACCCGAGTGCGCGATGGGCTGGACCTTACAGACATTGTGCCTCGGGAAACCAGAGAATATGACTTTATTGCTGCACAATTCAAATACTTTTCTTTCTACAACATGTATATAGTCACCCAGAAAGCAGACTACCCGAATATCCAGCACTTACTTTACGACCTTCACAAGAGTTTCAGCAATGTGAAGTATGTCATGTTGGAAGAAAATAAACAGCTTCCCAAAATGTGGCTGCACTACTTCAGAGACTGGCTCCAAGGTGAGGTGCTGCTAGTGGGTGTTCGCCCTTTGTAAACTTTCACCATTCAGTCTTTGGTATGTTCAGCTTCCACAAGTTCCCTTTGTTCACTTTATTAAAGTGTTAGATTATTACGTAACACTAACATGTTTCTTTGACTTCTAAGTGATGCTTAAAATTCTTATATGGACTGTTTCTGGGGCAGCCTCCCAAATCTGGCTTTCACCTATAAAATGATGCAAACAGTTTAAACAGGGGACTCGGGAACTTCTGTACAAATTTATGGGTGCACATTAGGAAATGGGAAGTATGTTATAAAGTTATAAAATCGGGAGCTGGATGCTTCTAGTGCTCTTTTTTTGGGTGGTGGTTAGTTTGTTGATCAAGTGAATCAGAGTGTTGATGGAATTTCTAGACTGACTTATTGACAAATTATGGCTTTACTGTACTGGTAAATTTTGCACCATTTGAGAATATAATGTAAAATTCCATATTTTGACCATCTTTTGATGTGGCATATGAAATAAACTTATCAATGCTTAATCACATCTCACAGTATTTCATAAATAATCAAATTCTGCTTTAAAATGCCTTTCTTAGCTTGTTACCTCATCCTTAGAAACATTTCTAGGAAATAGCAGTCAACTGGAGAAAAAAAAAACGGCCTAAATTTGTTCCTAACTACCAACTGAATATGAATGTATTCAGTGATTCCAAGAACATCTGTTCATTTATTCCATGTTGACACATGCAAAGTGAAGTGGGGAATCAAGATAATTATCCACACAATTCAGGCAAAAAATGCTTTTACTGAAATACCCAAATAATTATTGCCCCCAACATTTTTTGGCTTAAGTTATCCAAATGATTGTCTTAATTTCCCACTTAATTAGGCTTGTTTAAACACAGATTTGAGTGCCTTTTTTGGTCTTAAGTCAATACACTTGTATGTAAAGATTAAGCAGCCAATTTCCCTGGGAGTTTGCATGAAATGGTAAACAACTTGAGTTTGACTGAAAATTCTTCAGTACAGTTTCTGGCCTTGACTTTTGTTGCTAGAATTTTGTTTATACGTGTATACCAGATTTGACCTCTTCTTTTGAGGAAGGCAAAGAGAACTGCACGACGTTAATATTATTTTTTTAACATGCTCACGAGATTAACGTGAATTTGTTCCAAGTCTTATTTTTTACAGTAGTTTGGGAGGTTGTGTTTTTCAGATGAGTCAAAACAGGACCAGACAGTTGAGAGATTCCCTGCTTTTCATTTTTCCCCCATTGGCTGAAGACATGCAAATAGCTTGCCACAATGACAAAGAGATTGGCAGCACTGCCGGTATCTGAGCAAAGGAGGGTTATTGTAGAATTGATTTCAGTGTCTTCAGCCATTCCTTTGGATGCTCAATATGGCCTGTTAGGCTGAGCTTGGGAAGAGGGCAGAGGGTACTGTCTCCAGGCAGTGGCGAGGGCTCACCTTTCTATGGCGTATTGTAAATTATCCCTATGCTTTCATCCCTTTAAAGACCTAAAGCAGTTGAACTTGAGAATCACACTTTTTTAAAGGTGCAATTGAATCATGTTGTTTTGATTGCTAAGTGAACAGTACCCGCCTAGACCAAGTGAGATCCATTCTTGCTCCCAAGTCGGGGTCCCAACCAGCTCTACAACTCTGTATGTGACTCTTACGAGGTCCAGCAGAGAGCACTGGACACAGAATGGCCAGGTAATGGGACCATTGGGCTGCCTAGGCGGTTTTCAGGCTGTCAGGTGGTTGATTGGGTCTTTGAACACTTCCTGCAAGGAATCAGCCATCCTTGAATCGTTTAACAACATTTTGGGAGGCTGTTAAGTGTTGGGACCCCTCATTGGTTTTCAGTGGAATTATCACTAAAAACCATATCGCGCTATTGGTCTTTATCAACATTCCACAAGTTTGGGGGGGTGGTTAACTCATAAAAATATATAGGGGTAACATCACATGTCATCTTTAAACACACATGCAAGTAAGGCGAAGTTGCAGGTAAAAACCACACTGTGCATCATGAACCAATGGTGTTCGTTTGTATTTCACACTGAATTATGCAGATAAAATTTAAATTAATGTTTTCATTTTAGGGACCCATATCAAAGAGAAATTGACAATTGGGATGAGTAGCTCCGAACTTTTCCCTAGAAAATAATATTTAGTGTAAAATTTAAAATGAGAAAAGTTCTAGCTAGAACATTTACGTTTTGCTGTAAAACAGGTATATTGTCACAAATGTTTTCTACAGTGCACATGTGTTAGAGTATAAAATGTTGGCCAAGGGGCAGTGGAGGCAAATCCTTGTGCCTCATTTTGTGTCTAGAATCCTATGTTGTACATGTACTCTTGGGCCAATTCATTGTTACTGAGCTTTTTGGTAATTTGTCAGAAAATAAAATAATCTAATTATGAGGACTTCACTCTTTCCTAAGGTCAATGACTATTTCTCGTTTGTGTTTGTATTCCAAGTACAGTTTATGGCACGGGGGGGCTGGCAGCGTGGATGATGAGTTGAACTGAGTTGCCCATATCCCCAAATCCAGTCTTTCTTCCTTTGGTTCACTCTAGGGTGTTCCCAGATTCTTAGTGCATAAATATCTTAAAACTACACTCACGTTTGTGGAACACTGTTCTCCCCTAGACATCATTGGTGCCCACGGTAACTCTGCTGATCGTATTCATGCCTTCAGCAGAGACCTTCCTGAGCGCCTTTGTGTGTCCAGGCCATTTAGAGCAGCCATGGTTCAAGTCGAGCCTGGAGCCCTGCTGGGTGGCCTTGGTCAAGTTGCTTTCCACGCCTCAGTTTCCTCATCTGTAAAGTGGGAACCATGATGCTAACAGGGCTGTCTTGTGAGGTGGTTGTAAGAAGCACACTAGTGGTGATCAGTGTAAAATGCTGAGACAGCCCCACGCTCCCTGAGCACCAGTGGCTCCTTAGGATTGACAGGTCAAGAGGGAAAGGGTTAAAGTCCCATACAGGCCATGAAGTGATGAAAATTCTATTAAGGTGAGGAAAACAGACCAGGTCTCTTCTGGGGGTTGGGGAAGGGAGGAGGGCTTGTTTTTGCTCTCCTGTTTATTTTTTTTCAAAAACAAAAAAAGGCTTTAGGTAATAAAATAACATCTGCTCGGTACGGCTTGTTGTGTGCATGCCCCGCTCTGAAAAACAGTCTGTGTGAGCGTCGGGAGCCGGCCGTGCTGGTGGTCCCTCCCGCCCACCACTCCTCCACACTCGCCCCAGCACGGCCTTCTTTCAGCACCGGGCCTACGGGCCTCATCCCCACATTGTTCATGTAAAAACAATGCCCACAGCAATGTGGGCAGGAAGGTTTAGAGAGAGAGAGACGGGGGACAGGGTCCTGTGCTCGCCTCTCCCCCTGCTTCAAACCCCAAGAGCTTAATTATTTTGAGCACTGAGGGAACCAGTACTGGGAGGGGGGAGGTGTCTTTGAAGTCACTCAAGGCATGTCATGAAATGAAATGAACTCTTTTCCCTTCTTACTGGCCATGTCTAACCCGTGCGAACGCAGCTTGTTCAAAAGATGTGGTTTCCTGAGCTGCTGGGGCTTGGGAGTCCTACTTGGGAGGGGATGGGGGGGTGGGGGAAGCAGGGCAGTGGAAAGGAGGTGGGGGTGTCGGGGGAGAGTGTGTGCACAGGGGATCACTCAGCCCCTAAGGCCAGGTCACCAGGGCCCTGTTTTCTCTTCCAGCACGCTTATCTCTTTACAGCTGTAGCCAAACCGTCAGGTCTGTAATGATGGTTTTGATTACAGAGGCCAAGCGCAGCTGTGTGTGGTGGGCTGGTGGGCTCGCCCATCCCCCACACCCAGAAAGCCCTTTCCTTCCCCTCCCTGTGCTTGCGGTTTGTCATCTGTTCTCACAGAGCCCCCTTGTATTGGCCTGTGGCTTCCTGTTCTCAATCTGATCCAAATTTACCCCGTGAGGCATTTCCCTGCGCACACAGGCGCTCACGAGATCCCTCCCCGCACCCTCCTCCACACCCCCCTTCTGAGGAAGGGTGGCAAAGAGGAACAGTGGAGAGTGAATAGGTGTTGGCTGTGATCTTTACACAACCTGGCAGCCGATCCCACAGCTTGTATTAGCTCCACAAGTCGAACAGATGGAACAAATTGACAGAATCGTGTTCACTCACCCTGGCTGGAGAAGCAGCTGAGTCGTTGTTTGAAGCTGGGAGCTCGAATGCATGTTTCCCCCTCTGAGTGGGATTTCTGGTTGTATCAGAGAATCCACAGCTTTAGCACCTGACGGCGGCGTGAAATGCCTAATGAGCCTGTGTGGCTTCCTCACCCAGCCAGCCAGCTCTCCGAAGGTCTCTCTCTTCCTTTCTTTCGGAATAGCCGTGGGGGAGAAGGGGTCTCTTTTTTATGTAAAGGTAAAACATGTACATTTGTTTCCCAGAAACAAGTATTCCCCTCTTCTGCCTTTTTGAAGCAGTGATTATTAGCAACCTGAAGTTCATCCCTGAAAAATCTAATAGTGTCACTTGAACTTGAAATAGAAAACAAGTAGCACACAGAATGTTTGAGGTTGATGGCAGGTACTTCCTTGTCCTGCTCAGTGTCCTCAGCCCACCCCGTTAGGGTCTGGATCATAATGGTTAAGAATCATATTACATTGTATGCATTTGCCTTTTCTAGGACTTCAGGATGCATTTGACAGTGACTGGGAAACTGGGAAAATCATGCCAAACAATTACAAAAATGGATCAGATGATGGGGTTCTTGCCTACAAACTCCTGGTGCAGACCGGCAGCCGTGATAAACCCATCGACATCAGTCAGGTACTCTCCCTGCCCTACACCCTGGGAGCTCCCAGGGCATGATAGAGCAGAGACTGCTTGATAGCCTGCCCGCCCAGCCTGTGCTCTCTGGAGACCTGGGGCATCAGGGTCTGGTAGAATATTGAGTTGGCTCTGATTCACTTCATCCCATCAGCTGATTGAGTGCCTCAGTCTGCTTCTCTGTCAAATGGGGACATGTGGACCACCTACCTCCACAGCCGTGGTTCCAACCAAGAACCCTCGAGGCAGTGGGCAGTATCTTTCAGATACTAGAAATGCTGTGTTGTACTGTTCTCTTTTGAATTCTAGCACTCATTACATTACCATGTTGGTCTTGATTCTCTTCAAACTTGGAAGAATGGTAACAGTCGTTTGAATGAGCAGAATTTAAGGTGGATGGATGAGCTAGGAGATCAGAGAGGTTTCTAGAAGGATGGGAGGATTGGTTGCATTCCATTCCTTGGGGTCACCCTGGCCCAGCAGGTGGAGAAGGAGGACAGACAGACGGCTGTGTCATGAGTGAGGCAAACAGAAATGCCAGTCCTTGGAACCTGAGTGCACCCGCCATCCTGCTCACTCCCCTGGGTAATCAGAGCTGCTTCTGTTCAGTAATCATATTCTCCAACTGCATTTGCATCTTCTCTGTGATGCTCGGATTCCAGCATATCCCTTTTGATTCCTCAGGCATGTTGGGGAGTGTGTTTGGACCCTTCAGACTTCGAACGAGGCCAGCACCACTCCCAGCCCTCCCAGAGCCCGCTCCCTCTGCCCCTCGCAGCTTACTTGCTTCCCCCTCAGGCAGAAAACCGTCATGCTAATGATCTTCCCAGCAGCTCTGTTTATTGTCTCCCCTTTTTTGCTGGCGTTAAAGGTGACAGATTTACAAAGTACATTGTTCAGAGTTATTATGGAGTGTGAACTTGGTGCTTTATGGCCGCATGCGGCACGGCACGCTGTCAGGTTTGACAAGGATATGGGCAGAGGAACCTGTGGGAGAGATAGCAGGGGGATGCCCGGTGGCTGGGCCGGGCCTTCAGGACCAGGGACACCGTGGAGCGAAGGGGATTGGGCCAGGCCCTCGGATAGCACTTCCTCCTCCCGGGAGGGAGAAAAGCCTGCTGCGTGCACGGAGACCATGAGCTGTGCTCTGTAATTCCAGAGACGGCTTGAAGACATGCAGTTGTTACATATCCTGGGGATTAATTGAATCCAGACCCCTGAAGTTTCGTTTTGTCGCTCGACTCTTTCTTCCTTCACTCTTTCTCTATTAACTGCTGTCACTGGTGTTTTTCATTTTGTTAAGAAGGCCAAAAGCATTGGAGTCAGGCCTGAATCAAAGTAAACAGGAAAAATATATTTGTGTGTGTGAGTGTGTGTGGATGTGTGTGTATGTCTCTCTCACGGTGTTTGCACCTAAGCAGAGCCCCCAGGACCTCCTTTAGAGAGAGGGAGTGTTGTATTCCGTGGCCTAGGATGGGGCTTGCTCAGTGGGACCAGCTCTCTCAGAAATCGGGGTACCCAGAAAGACCATGGTTGTGCACCAACCCCTTCCACTCTCAGGCGATGGGCATTTTGTGAATACACAGGTCATAGGAGGCTAGTGTTAGCAAAATTTATACAGATGTTGTTTTATTTTTATAGCTCTCCTCCATTTACTGGGTGGCATTTCCTTCAGTGTTAACAGCAGAGGTTAACTGCACACAGACGTGTATGGGGATTCTTGCCAGGTTTCCCCCCGCCTCCCCTCCTATAAATATGTTTCTCCAGATTGTTCATTCTCTGCCTTGGCTGCAGACAGTCTTTTAGCATTCAGATTTAATTGGTTCAGTCAATTCCTGGACCATCTGCAGAACTGTGTGTGTGTTATAAACACACCCATTATTGCATCCTCTGATAAGTGCATTTTGAAAGAAACCAAAGGTGTTCTGACGGGATTTTCTTATATGTTCAAAGAGGGGGCATTCTCGGCTTTGTTGCAAATGCTGGTGCAGCGCTCAGCTTCTTTTCCCCCCTCCAGACAGCCCCATTCCCCCGCCCCCGCCAGCCCCATTCTGAAAGACCCCTCTTCTTCCCATTTTGCAGTTGACCAAACGGCGCCTGGTGGACGCGGATGGCATCATCAATCCCAGCGCGTTCTACATCTACCTGACTGCTTGGGTCAGCAATGACCCTGTGGCTTACGCCGCCTCCCAGGCCAACATCCGGCCTCACCGACCTGAGTGGGTGCACGACAAAGCCGACTACATGCCAGAAACCAGGCTCAGAAGTGAGTAGCCCTCCACGGGGACCCACCGCGCGCAGGGCCTCACCCTGTTCTCCCAAGCTCAGCCATGGCCCTCATCTGCTGACACTTACCCAGGGTTCAGAAGTGTAAACAGAACAATATATTTCTTTGAGTTTAAAACTCTGGGAGACAGATGAGGATGTGTAATGGATACAACCGTGCTCTATCACGTTGGGAAATGAGAGTCCCTAATCTCCGTTTGTAGCTTTCACCCTAGGACGCCCACCAGGCAGCTCTCTTTCACACCAGCTGTTCCATGTGAAAGCTGGGGACGCCTCCAGGTTGAGTGTTATTTTACTATTGCAGAGTTTTATCGCTGGGGATTATATGTTTATCTTAACTTTGTCAACTCTGGTGTTGAAGGAATTTTTGGCAAGTTGGGTCATTCCTATAAGCCACCAAGCACCTGTATTCTGTCAAAGCTGTTTAAACCGGAGCAGGGTAGTCTGTATACAGCAGTGTCCTCTCCTTTCCCCTCCCAGCCCTGACTTTGAAAGGTGGTCCTGTATGGATTTAATTTGCACTGATGTTCAAGATACTAGTAGCTTCCACCTTGGATAGGAGGCCGAGGGAGGACGTGACAAAGAAGACGGGTCCCTCTGCAAACATGGCCGGAGAGGAAGCAGGTTGTGCTTCTCTGTATCTAAACCCCAGAGCCTTGTGGCAAGCAGCCAAGGCTTGTCTTAATGAAAATTTATAGTTGAGATTATAATAGGGCAAATCATGTTTAGCAAGTCAACTGAATGACCCCAAAGGGTCTGGAACACACAACGGCAGTAACTAAATGCTTGTTGTGTAAGGATTTCTTCCCCTGCTGCTGAAGACTTAGCATTGCATTAAAAAAGAAGCATGGAAGGTTTAAGTGTGTTAGATCACTAAAAGGATAAGAAAGTTAAGCGTTTTTCTCAGGAAAGCATGACTTTCGAGTTATTTTGTTCTCATAAGGGACTGAGTAGAACAGTTTGAACTTCGTATTTTCCCTTGTGTCAGTCGAACAAAAAATGCTCCTGCCATTGAATTCTTGTTTAGACACATCACAAAAGTGACTGCTTCCAGAAGATTAAAATCAAAGGTTAAATAAATACCCAGGCCCCAGGCTCCTCCCCTCCCCCCACCAGAAAAAAAAAAATAGAATGTTGATTATTGCTTAAAGCTCTCTTAAACCAGAGATTAAGACTGTAAAGTCCCCAAGACCGTCCCCAGTACTGTTTGTGCTTCACATTGAAAGAAGCCCAGTTAGGGGACCTGGTGGCAGAGTCCCTTCTCTGTTCATTGTGATCAGTGGCGGAGCATGCGGGGTGTGCATCCAGGAGGGCTGACCCTGGGGCGTGTGGTGGCTCCCCCGAATCTGGTCACACCCGTTCGCCCTCTGTCCTGTTGCCCCGAGCCTTCAGCCCTGGCCTCTTCCCACTGTCTCCCTGTCCAGTCCCAGCAGCGGAGCCCATCGAATACGCTCAGTTCCCTTTCTACCTCAACGGCTTGCGGGACACTTCAGACTTTGTGGAAGCCATCGAAAAGGTCAGAACCATCTGCAACAACTACACGAGCCTGGGGCTCTCCAGCTACCCCAACGGCTACCCCTTCCTCTTCTGGGAGCAGTACATCGGCCTCCGGCACTGGCTCCTGCTGTCCATCAGCGTGGTGCTGGCCTGCACGTTCCTGGTGTGTGCCGTCTTCCTCCTGAACCCCTGGACGGCCGGGATCATTGTGAGTTCATTTGCAGGGCTTTTGTGGAAGTCAGATTCCTTTCGGCCTAGCTCTTGCTGCAGCGGGGAAGCTGTGTTTATGTCTGGGCCTCTGGAGGAGGGTATAGATTGCATCATCCTTGCTATATTTATTCTGCTGGAGGTGGCGAGGTTCATGGTTAGGTAGAGCCTTTAATGGCCTTCATCTTGTGTCCCTTCTCCTACAGCTTTCAGCTTTCTGTGTAAAGACAGGGAAGTTTTAAAACACACTCTCTATAACCGCTCCTAGCATTTATTAAATGTGAAAACGGTGAGCATTTATTAAATACAAATGTAACTAATTTTTTTTTTTTTTTTTTTTTACTTAAAGGGTCCTTTTGTGACTACATCCCTGACCTAACATAGGAAAGATTCTTCTAGAAAAGGGGAGGGGGAGGTAAATAGAGAAGTTAGGGCAGTGGTCTATGGGTAAAATGGTTTCCGAGATGGTTGTGTGTGTTGTGTGTGTTTTAAAGTTTGAAGGACGTTGATGAACTGGTATTACTAGCCAATTTTTTTGACATCCTTTTTCCAAGTATAATACTCTCAGATCTGAAGTAAGTTTCACGTAGAGTCTAATAAAATCATGGCAGTGTTTAAATTCCACAAACTGTGGTACAGCCTTCAAAATGACAAAATTATAAAAACAGAGACCAGGTCTCATTTCTGCACCATATGTCTGTGCAGCAGGTATGTTAAAAGGTAAATGTTTAGTCTGTAGGGGTTTTCGTGGTGCTTAAGCAATTGATGTTGTCCATCTTTCATTAGCTTCTTAACAGAAAGCACAGGGAACTGTTACTGGACTCGTCCTTCCCTTGCCACCGCTGTCCACCGTCCCACCCCCGACCAGGAAAGATCATTCATTCACTCCTTCTCTTCCATCTGTGGGAAGTTTATTGTTTCATTTGTGTTTTCTCCCCTTTGGCCCAAGAAACTCCAAAGTCTACCTCGCAGATTTCCTTTGCATCTCTGCGCAAATGGCAAATAAGAGCTTTTCCTTGGATTTAGCTGTCTGCTGTGTCCACCCGCCTTGCTCCTCGCTTCTTCAAAGTGAAGGCGCCTGTAACCTGACCCGTGTCAGCTGACCAGAAGTCCCCTTTCTCCCTCGTCATCCTCTCTTAACCCATGGGCTCTCCGAACAAAAGCAAAGCTGCCTTTACCTAAAAGAAAGAACTTTTATTCACCCGTCCTATCTGCTTTCTTTAGGGTGGAGGGTGGGGCAACCAAAAACTCTTCAAGTTTCAATTCTGTTGTAAATTGAAGGACAGTTTCTGATGATTAAAATCAAAACAGAAGGAAATAAGCTTGTTTTAAACTATATTAAATTTGTAGCTAGTTACCAGTTCATGTTTGTGTAATTCCTAGATGACTCAAATGGAATAGTTGTGAAATTTTTTTTTAACTTTTCTTTTATTTTTTTGCTTTCTAGAGCAGATATGTTGGAAAAACAGCTTTCAGTAGTAATACTGAGCTTTGCCTTTCTGTACTCCTCAAACAGGCTGCTGGCCCAAAACAGCTATCCCCAAATTGTCCCAAAGTCTCCCTTCTCAGCAGCGACAACGGTGAATTAGAAAGTAAAGACAGGTGTCCAGAGTGAAAGCAAGTCAGCGTTTTCATTACATTTAGGTCCCTGGTGTTTTCTCTGCTCTTGATCTGGAGTGAGCCCCTCCCCTGTTGTCAGCACCCAGAGTGTTTGTGCCCATCCACTCATCCCGTGCGTCTTCTTAAAGGTGACGGTCCTGGCTTTGATGACGGTCGAGCTCTTTGGCATGATGGGCCTCATTGGAATCAAGCTGAGTGCCGTGCCCGTGGTCATCTTGATTGCTTCCGTCGGCATAGGAGTGGAGTTCACCGTTCATGTTGCTCTGGTATGGGAGACCTCTCTATCGAGAACTTTATGGAAAGGCAACATGTTTACTTTAGCTTTGGTTGTCTCCAGGTTGGGGACCTTTTGGGTTTTCTCCAACATCAAGGAACACACATACAACGTGTCATAGTGAAGAGGCTTCAGAGCACAGGCATTCCTGCATGAGGAGTGGCTGAAATTTAGGTGGGCTCCTTCCCTCTTGGGCAGTCTAAGGAGAAGGGCATTGGAGGTGAAAGTTCACTGGGCAGGTCAGCAAGGGGCCAGGAAGGATTCTGCTTATTTGATGTCCTTAGAGTCATGAGAGGTGTGTAAGTTGTCAACTTTGTTCCTGAGTTAGATGGTGTGAGTGTGTGTGATTGCACATGAAAGCACCCAATTTTTAAAATCACAGTTATAAAGCGGAGATAAAGTGAGACTACACAGGCATGGCAGGACAGCCTGACTGAGGAATTGGTTCTCCCACCTGAGCCCACCCAGCTCCTTCGACTTCCCTGCCTCCAAATTTGAGAGAGAGGAACATAAGAGAAGCAGGGTTGCTCTCAACAGGATTTCCACCCCCTCCTCTCTCTATGTCCAGTCCCATGAACGGTTTGTTGGAGGAAGTTAAACATCAGGAGGAGACTTTAAACCAAGAGACAAACCCATTGTGTACATATATCAGAAAATTATTCAGAAGCCTCCTAGCAGTGTGTGGTTTATGTTCTGTCCACACTCATGCTTCTAGCCTAAGTCCTTGGGGTGATTGGTTAGCCACTCCATAAATATTTATTGACTGCAGAAATGCTGATGTGTGGAATGCCCTGGATAGGAAACCTAGCACTGAGCCTGGGTCACATTACTTTTAGCCTTGCTTTTGCGGTCACTAGCGTTGATTTTCCTGGGGCTCAACACACGGCATATGCGTGTCCGCACATGTGTATATCTACACGTTGGCTCTGTCTTGTGCCTTCTTAGTTTCTCCACAGGGAGTCTTTCAGGGGCCTTGACATGCAGTTTAGAGTCTATAAACTTATGTGTTTCAGAAAGAATGTTTTGTTGAGGTTGTGCCATTTTCAACAAAAAGCTGATAATACAGAAGCAATATTCTCTAAATTTCGAGCCTCCCCAAATTCTTTTCCCCCATTGAGCTGGGAGGAGGGAGAGGGGATTTTTTAAAAAGAAGAGCCCACCAGCCTAGAGCTTAGAATGTAAATAATGCTTAATATCATTTCTTCAAAAAGGAGAAAACTTTACATGAGAGTGAAGAATCCACCCATTTTATTCTGATGCAAATGAAAACTACGGTTTTTTGGGGTTTGTTTTTTTTTTTTTTTTTTTTTTTTTTGGTAGCCAGCATAGCAAACAAGAGTGTTCTAGAACAGGTTTTTACAGTGGAAATGAAAACTACAGCCTGTCGTGGCACTCTGGGCCTTACATGTGAGGTAGTGTGAACATAAATGCACACACCAGTGCTGGATAAACAATTAAGGAATGCTTCCACCGCTCATGCAAGATGTAATTCCAAGAATTTAAGGAGGCTCAAGAGCCAGCTTGGCTTTGTGAGCCATCACCCCTGCTCGATGCTTGTAGCCCCCATCTGCATCACGAGACCATCCACACGCAGGGTATGGTGTTCTTAGCTTGTCCTATATGTGAAGGTCTATTTAAAGCAGGCAGGTACTGCTCTTTCGAGGTTTGTAAAATGATGGAATAAGGTTGGTGAGGAGCGAGCACTCTTCAAGGAATCAGTGGGTTCCTATCAGTTCACTGTTCCCACAGTATAAGTTGGGTGTGAGATGATAAAACCCTACTTGACCCTTGCAGCCTTGTGGCCCAAGTATGGCACAAAGTAACATGGTTCCAGACTGTCTTGGTGCTTTCCTCCCAAGACAAAAAGGCAATTCTGTTGATCCTAAAGCCTTCCCCACTCTGGAAAAGCATGTGCATTCTAGAGCGTATGCACTTTAGTGAAAAGTACAGAAACTCATAGCACATTTTTATATACTTTTCTTTCTTCGTCTGTTCAAGAGAACAACCTTAGTATTCTTCCACAAGCTATGCAAGGCATGGGAGTGCACCCAATGTGTGATAGGCCTTGATTTTTAAGGAGCTATGGTCTGCAGAGTTCCTGAACCTTCTCAGCATATCCCAGAGCAGCCTGTAGCTTTCAGGCAGAGAAAGGACTTGTACCAAACTCCTGTTGGGGTCCCATCGAAGGGCCAGGCAGGGTATGACAGGAACTGACTCCCATTAAAATGGTCCTGGGTCACCCCATCAAGCCAACAGTCCGATATGCTGGGACTTACTCTATATAAGTTGCCATTGGTATCAGTAGTATTCTTGACCTAGCGGAGCTTTAGGAAGTGAAGGAGCAGGGGAGATATGACCACACTGAGTTAGAACAGGCTCGATTTGAATTTCGAGTCCTGTATTTTTCTTGTGATCCTTCCGTGGTACTTAGATGTACTACAAACACATTAGTTTGAACCCGGCAATGGAAATTCTGCATCATCATGAGGAAATAGGTACTTGGCACCCAGTTGCACGCAACCCTCAACTAAGCCCACCTAGAAGTAAGATCTTGACCTTCCCCCAAATCAGGAAGGATGCTGTCATCTTCACACTGTGGGCCTCCCATGTGAAAGCCGTGAGGTCATGCAGGTTGGGGAGGAAACCCGAGGGGGGCAGCAGCAAAAGAAGAGGACATTTTGCTCATGTTTGTATAGTTTTGGTTTGGTTTTTAATTTAAAGTAAATATGCTTTGTCTTTTTTTGTCACTCAAGATTTATATCAACACCAAACATGACACAGTATCATGAACAGGCCATTTTAGCATAAGCCTAGCGTTAGGTACTTGAGCAACCCCAATTAAATATTGCAGGAGATAGAAAGGAAGATGCGAGAGATTACTCTTACCGAGTAAGAAAGCTGGTGGCATGTTGGACAGAGCTGCCCAGGGGCTTCCGTCCGGGAATGGGCTCATCCCGCCTCTTCTCGTTGCGCAGGCCTTCCTAACGGCCATTGGCGATAAGAACCGCAGGGCCGCACTCGCCCTGGAGCACATATTTGCACCCGTCCTGGACGGCGCCGTTTCCACTCTGCTGGGAGTGCTGATGCTCGCAGGGTCTGAGTTTGATTTCATTGTCAGGTAAGCAGGAGGGGAGACGGTTCTTAATTTCTAGCAATCACTATCACCCTTATGATCTCCGTTGCAGATTTCCTTCTGTATCCTGTGGAGAGCAGCATGTCTTCATTGTGACTCTACTCTTTGTCCCCCAGATTTATTGAGGTGTAACTGACAAATAAAAATCATATATTTTTTAAGGTATCCAACATGATGTTTTGCTATACTAGTACATTGTAAAATGATCACCACAGTCCGTGACTCCTCTTCTGTTGAGTTTCTTAACTCAGAGACCTGCCAAGAGGTAGAAGGACAAGCTCTCTGCCAGAGCCATCTTAGGGAACATCTTGGGAAGCAGAGTGGAGAGTGTGACTAGCAGCACAGAGTTCCACAGTGTGAAACCAGGGGACCACCCAGTACCCCAGTTCTGACCTTGGTTCCCCCTCACTGACTTTGACCTTCACCTCTCTTTCAAATCGATAGAAAAGAAAACTTACAAATACCTAAAATTGTCACCTACATTTTGTTCTTCTAAGAAGCAAAGGTAGCATGCCCAGACTTCACATTCAAGTTCTTAGTAAGATTTAGGGAGCAGTAAATGTGTGACTTTGGTGCCAAATGTTGGAAATCCAGACCTAGTTTGGATACTTCTTTTTGGATCCTCTGGCAAGCAGTTTCTCGTGGATTTATGAAGAATATGAGTGTGTGACATAGAAAAGGAGAGCGAGTTTGCCTTCTGAAAAGAATTTGCGCACTGCAGGGAAAGACCATTTTCTGCTCCGAACGGCCCCCACAGCTTCGGCAAGTAGCCGCTCTTGGATGTAACACTGCTGCTCCATGGAAGGGCAAGGCCAGAACCATCCGTAAGCGAAAGATAGTCCAGAATTAGAACCGTGGTAAAGCAGAACTGAATGTGAGGCATGACTGCCCGGCTTGGGATGCTTCAGGAATCTGGAGAGAGAATCTAAACAGGCTTTCTCGCTGTGTGGGCCTGTGATAGGTCTTGCATTTTCAAGTGAAAAGAAGAGGGTTTTGAGTTTCAGTCCAAGTTTCCTTATTGCAGAAAAAAGATCAGGCCATTGGTCTGTGGCCTACCCCACTAGCCAGCTGGGCAGCAGAGATTAAGCCTTCCTCGAAGGAGGGCCAGCATTCCCTCGGTGTAGTTAGTGTGGGCTAACGGAGAGGTGGGGCGGCGATCACAGTGTGGACCAGAACTTCTCAGACCATACTGTGCTTCTGAATCATCCGAGGCTCTGCAGATGCAGCTTGGATTTCGTTGGGGGCAGGGAGGGTGTGGAGCAGAGTTTGCATTTCCAGCCAGCTCCCAGGTGATACCCATGCTGCTGGTCTTCTCAACACAACACTGTTAATCAGCTAACAAGCCAATTAGTACATTCTTGTTTGCCAATACCAGGTAGATGTATGCCTAAATTAGATCAAGCTTTTGGCCGGAGTTTTATTTTCAGCTCTTAACTTGACTTTGGCTTTTCCTTTATTGCCTTAGCATACGCATATTCAGGCATTAGTAGATGTTTCTTTATGGCCTAAAACCCCTGTGTCAAGGAGAGTTTCTTTTGCATGATTTCTCCCTCAACCCAGTGTAACAAGCACCTCGTAAGTGCCATGGTACAGAGCAGCAAGTTACGTGGACCCCGTCCCCCTCCATGTGGCTTACAATCTGGTGGGGAGAGGGAGTTCACAGGCAGTTCAGAAGCATGGGAAAGGCTGGGCGTGATGCGATCTCAGAGGATCTCACTCAGCCTCGTGGGGAAGCTGAGTGAGCCCCAGAGGGGGATCTTTGCCAGAAGTGGAGCAACCAGCTGGGAACCAGAATGGAGCGCAGAATCCCAACTCTCATCGAACCCGTGGCTTCCTGTTCTCTCCCAGAGATATCAGGGTTCTTGTTTCAAGCACTTAAAAGGGCTTCCCATTTTCTAGAACTGGATGGATTAACCTGATAAAGCCCTCACTGAGGTCAACTAAATGAGCAGACATTGTATACGCTAAGCCGTCAGAAATCTAATTGGTCTGTTTATGCTACAGTTAGATGGATGGGATGCAAATGTCTTAATGCTGCTGCTGATATATGCTTCAGCCTCAAGTTCCTGCAGTTTACATTAGAGCAAGACATTGGCGGCTTGCTTTTTACTAAGGCGGCTCAGAAGTTTCTAGTGTTTACAATAGCTGCGAGGTATTTGTATTTTTATAGGGATTCTCGCTCCTTTCATCTAATGTCGAAACATATATAGTCATGGTGAAGTTAGGTGCCTGTTCTGTTTTATGATCAAGAGGACCATTAACAGATAGATATCTTGCCCTCCCTCTTCCCAGAACATCCTGAGCTCTCCGCCACCTCAGCCTCCTTCCAGCAAAATTGCCCTAGATATTGTTAGTTCCAGAAAATGTACACTTGCGTGGAGCCCGCTCCCTGCAGCTGTGGGGAGCGTCGGCCAGCCGCTCGCCCGAGCTGACAGGTTTACCTTGGTATTCATGAAGGATCCCAGACCTTAGCCCTCAATGGTGGGAAAGCAGGGCCACTTGCGCACTCTCCTCTTCTTCATGGTGCTGCAGCCTTTATGTTTGAATTGGCTGACGCAAAACAAGAGTATTCAGAGATGCTAAATTGTTCAACAAAAGATTGGCCCGCAGAGCAGCCCCCTCATTGTGGGCCGCCCTCCCCCGCAAATGCCCCAGCAACCACAGAATGGGCAGCGTTTTCTTTGCAGAAAGCTGGTTCTTGTGTTCTAAAAAGGTTGCAATTGGAGCTGTTTGGTAAAACTGGAACTCACAGAATTCTAGGCAGAAAGTTGTGATTAATGAAAGCCCAGGGAAAGCCTTACCTGATCCGCTCGAGACTTAATTAGAGATTCTGCTCTAAGATGCAGAAGCATTTCACAGTGGATTAGCTGCCTGCAGAAGTGGGCTGCTTTTCCTCCTGAGCTAAATTGTTTAAATTCTACACCCTTCACTTCATTTGTTTGCTTCTGCTGGGTTTTCACGGACGGGGCCCCTCTGCATTGTGTTTGTGCTTCCAATCTGCTCAGCCATTCAGCTCACATTCCATATTTTTGTGTTTGTGTAACACATTCATAAATAACATTACATGCCAAGAGATTTCAGCAAATTAACAAACTAATTTTTCTCTCTTCCCTTCACAAACTAACACTTTGGGTTGTGGAATGTAGTCCTCGAGAGTCACAAGGTAAAAAAAAAAAAGAAAGAAAAAACTAATCTCGTGCTGAATGTGAACCACAGTTTTATAAGAGCCTCTGCAACTGTGTGGGCTTTGTTAATTTTGGGTTTTGACGTGCTGCATAATATCTGGGCACGTGAAGGCTGGCTTCATTTACTTTTGCCACAGTCAATGACGCTGTTTCCCTTCTATCTTCAAGGTATTTCTTTGCTGTCCTGGCAATCCTGACAATCCTGGGTGTTCTCAACGGGCTGGTTTTGCTCCCAGTCCTTCTCTCCTTCTTCGGCCCGTACCCCGAGGTCAGTAATTGCACCGGGTGTCACGTACACCTCTCAGGCCGCCGGAATGCCCTTTGTCCCAGGGTCCCTGCGAATTTAGATGTTTAGGTATCTCAACATTACTGTTTACTTTTTCAGTAAACATTTCGATGACTATGGCTTTTTTCTCTTCAGCTTTGGGGGATGTCGTACTGGGTTTGTTTTGGTTTGGTTTTGGTGTCTTAAACCACGTGATTGGCGCCCCGAGTCTTACAGTTCTGTATCAATGAAGCATTTTCCACTCAAGATGAATATCCGGGCTTGAAGAAAAGTAAAAAGGGCACAGCCTGCCTTTCCGAAGTGTAAAAGCAGAGGGCAGTTCTTGTGTTCCAGCTGCCAGGCCTGATGGGCCTCGAGGTGGCAGAGTGGGGGAGGTGAGCATAGGGGAGTGGGAGAGGCCGGGGCAGTGGGGGGACGGGTACAGAGAGCCCTGAGCACGACTGTACTTTGCTTTGCTTTGAGTGTGACCAGCAGGTAAATGGATGAAAACACTTCTGATATGGAATCTCCTTAAATAGGTATCTCCAGCCAACGGGCTGAACCGACTGCCCACCCCTTCCCCCGAGCCACCCCCCAGTGTGGTCCGCTTTGCCGTGCCCCCCGGTCATGCAAACAATGGGTCTGATTCCTCTGACTCGGAGTATAGTTCTCAGACAACGGTGTCAGGCATCAGCGAAGAGCTTCGGCACTACGAGGCCCAGCAGGGCACTGGGGGCCCTGCCCACCAAGTGATCGTGGAAGCCACAGAAAACCCTGTCTTTGCGCGCTCCACTGTAAGTCACCCTAGGGGGGCAGCCCCTGCCTCCTTTGAGCAGCAAATCCCAGACAGAGAGGACTTTAAAGTAGAGATTAGGTCAAATCATATGAAATTGCCAGTATTTGCCTCTTAAACTATAAAAACATCAGTTCCGTGTGGCTGGGTGTCCTGTGGGTTGCAGAGGGCAGGGGCCAGGAACCCTAGCTATGAGCAGCACTGGCATGTATCTTGTTCGGGCTAAGTACAATCTGAGCTTCAGGGCCAGAGGGAAAGTGTGCCTTGCTGCTGGCCTTTTTTTTTTTTGCTGCATTTCATTTTAAGTTTTTTTTTTTTTTTTTTTTAATGTAGTGGTATTTTTATTGCCAACAGAGTGATTTCTTTTTCCTCCCACTTCTGTTGCATTTAAATGCCCTGGTACAAAATGATTTCAGTTATTGATGCCTAAGACTTTACCAGAAGTGGGAAGCTTAGCCTTCAGTGATTCAGGAAAGCCATGAGCAGCCTGGGAGCCCCTTCTCAGAGGCTCCCAGAGCCCCAGCCATGTCCTGCACTCTCTCTGCTCCCCAGGATGTCCTCAGCCCCCCAGGCCTAGAGCACAGCACACAAAACCCGAGGAAGGTTCTAAGACTCGTGTTGCTCCAACTGAGGGCCTCCTGCTGTCCCTCCAGGAAATGGGTATTCCAGTCCCAGGCCAGAGCAGCCCCTGCATGAAAGAGAGAGGGGCCAACCAAATAACCTAAATTTTCCCCCTCTTACCCCCCGTGGCGCCGCCTGCTGAGCTGCAGTGTGAATCTGGTTTTGTTCAGCGGGGGCCTAAAAATAGGTACAAGCTGAACGACTTTGAAGTTGGTCACGGTCCTTTTGATTGATGTGGCCACTGTGCTGCTCCATGCTTTGTATAGAGACCCAGAAACCAGATTCCTAACAACCGGACGGAGGAGCGCTGCCCCATAGAACTTTCCGCGACGATGGAAATTCTCCCTCTGGGCTCGCCCATATAGTAGCCACTGACCACATGTGGCCGTTGAGCCCTTGAAATGTGGCTGGTGCAATGAAGGAACCGAATTTGGCATTTTTCTTCATTTAAGTGTAAATAGCCGTATGTTCCTAGTGGTTACCGTATTCAACAGTGTAGGTGTAGACAGTCCTGCCAACAGGCTGCGCTTGGGCCCGCTGGAGCCAGAGGCTTAGCCGTTTTCAAAGAGGAGGAGCTTGCGACCTGACCCTGAAGCGCAGGGTGGGGCGCAAACTGTGGGACAAGGCAGCCCGGGGCCCCTCCCACCACAGCCCTGCATTTATGGGCCTCAGCCTTATGTGTCCGGTCAACTGTGCGGGAGAAAGCCTAGGCCCGGGGTCCAAAGAAGGCCTTCCTCTGCCACGCCGTGGAGGTTCTAAAAGAACAGGTTTTTCTTTTGTGGGTGGAAGGCCCCTTGCCTCCCCGGGGCCTCTCCCAGGCATTTGTGGGGTTGACTGAGCACTCGGTGAAGAGCTGTGTGTGGGTGGCCGGCGGGAGCCTGAGCCAGGAAGGGAAGGCCGGGCGCAGCGGGGGGCGATGCCCCGCCTGGGGTTAGCATCCTCCCGCCTGTTTTAACCTGCCCTCGCCCTCTGCAGGTGGTCCATCCCGAAGCAAGACATCACCCACCCTCAAACCCTCGACAGCAGCCCCCCCTGGACTCAGAGTTCCTGCCTCCTGGACGACCAGGCCAGCAGCTCCGGAGGGAACCCCCCAGGGAAGGCTTGCGGCCACCCCCCTACAGACCGCGCAGAGACGCTTTCGAAATTTCTACTGACAGGCATTCCAGCCCTAGCAATAGGGACCGCGCGGGCCCCCGGGGAGCCCGTTCTAACAACCCTCGGCACCCCGCGTTCACTGCCATGGGCAGCTCGGCGCCCAGCTACTGCCAGCCCATCACCACTGTGACGGCCTCGGCGTCCGTGACTGTTGCCGTACACCCCCCACCCGCCCCCGGGCCCGGCTCGGCGCGGAGCCCCCGAGGGGGACTGTGCCCGGGCTACGGGGACTACCCCGAGACTGACCACGGGCTGTTTGAGGACCCCCACGTGCCTTTTAACGTCCGGCGCGAGAGGAGGGACTCCAAGGTGGAAGTCATAGAGCTGCAGGACGTGGAATGTGAGGAGAGGCCCCGGGGCAGCAGCTCCAACTGAGGTGCGTGCGGCAGGTGGGTTGGCCCGGGAATCGCTGCTCCTCAGCCGCAGGGGCCGGATGCGCAGGGGGACCCAGAGCAGAGCTCCTTGGGGCTTCTCAGGCTGCATCCTCTGGGAGCCCCTGGGTGTTGGTGTGGCCCAAATAGAACCCCAGGGGCTTTTTATCTCCAAGGCAAGGACTGCCACGTCCACGCCCTGTCATCCTTGGGGAACCAGTCCAGTCCTAAATTGGGTCCCTCCCCTCACTGCCGAGCTGTTGAGCGTTAGTCCAAGTTCACAAGGGCGCTAGCTCTCACCTTTCTATCTTTATAAAGCACCATAACAGGTATGTATGATACATGGCTCCGTGAATGGTCACAGAGTGAACACATCCATGTCGCCGGCCCTCAGACCGGGGAAGGGTTCGCCACCCACCCCGAGAAGCCCCTCGTGCCCTCACCCAGCACCCCCATCCTGATTTCTAATACCTTTGATCAGTTTCCTTGATTTTGTGCTTCCTAAATACGGACCCATACACCTGTTGCTTCATCTGACTTTTTTTTTTTCTTTTAAAGGGTGAGTAAAATCTGAAGCAAAGAGGCCAAAGATTGGAAGCCCCCCCCCCCCCCCCCCCCCTGCCCCCGCCCCCGAACTGCTTGAAGAGAACGGCTTAGGGTCCTACAGAAGTGCGCACCGGGAGAGCAGTTCCGCGTTACTGTAACCGATTGTATTATTTTGTGAAATAGTTCTATATATATTTAAGAGGTGTACACATATGTAATATACGAAGGAACGGATGTAAAGTAGTGTGATCTGGGCTTTCTCCACTCCTGCCCCCAGAGTGGGCAGTGGGGAGGCCGCCGCGGCCCCTCCCGCCCATTTGTGCATGGGTCTCTGTGCCACAACCAAGCTTAACGTAGTCTTAAATTTCAGCATATGTTGCTGCTGCTTAAATATTGTATAATTTACCTGTATAATTCTATGCAAATATTGCTTATGTAATAGGATTATTTTGTAAAGGTTTCTGTTTAAAATATTTTAAATTTGCATATCACAACCCTGTGGTAGTATGAAATGTTACTGTTAACTTTCAAACACGCTATGCGTGATAATTTTGTTGTTTAATGAGCAGATATGAAGAAAGTACGTTAACCCCGGTGGCTTCTCCAGGTGTAGTTGGATGTGGTTCTGTTTGGCTGTGTGTGTGTGAACACGTGTGTGGTTTCCCAATGTACTGTACTGTGATTTTATTTTATTTTTCTTTTTTTTTTTGTTTCTTTTCACGTTCTTGTAATCCTTAGTGGGCTCTGCCCTCCTTGGGCTGGAAGAGTCAGGATATCTTTATTGCTTGGTGCTGGTGGAAAGCTAGCCCTGAATGTCGCCTTATCCTGTCGCCAGACTCGTTTCAGGTCCAGGGCATCTTTTGCGATCGTTGGCTGCTATCCAGACACTCCCAATTCATGCCTCAGAGGAGACGGGCTCTGTTGCATGGATCGTTGTGGTGGACGTTGGAACCTCAGGGTTTAGAGCTAACATCTGCTCATCTTCATTGGTATTAAAGAGTTATTACAGAACATGCTTAGTGGTGAGCCTCAGCTGGGCCATGAAGGTATACTCTAGCGTATGCAGCCTTCCTTGTACCTCTTGTCTCACACACACACACACACACACACACACACACACACACACACACACACATATACACATGCACCCTCAAAAGCTTAAGGGCAGATTGGAAATCTTTCAGAGACAATGACCCTGCTACGAGTAGAAAAACCTGTTGATTCTGGGCCCACAGTAAACCCAGAGGTGATGTTTTGAGTCCCTACAATTTAAACCCCCCCCCTTCCTAAATTGCACAGTTGGTTGTGATTTCCTGGATCTGTCTGTATCTTCTTAAAAAATAAATAGTGAGCCTCCAGTTTGGTGATGTGGAGTCAAGTTCTGCAGGGTAAGAGCTTCCGAAGGATCCTTCTCAGTATGTGAATAGTAACGTTATGGGCACACACTTCCTAAATAAACTGTGTCCCTCCTCTCGGCCTCTCGATGTGACACTGATTGAAGAGCAGGGAGATGTTCATTGCATACCCCCCACTGAAGAATGTGTCTGGAGGCAGATCTCTCAACCAGGCGTTATTTTTAAAGATTTGCTCTGTCTTGCATGTGTTGTGTGGCTCTGAGGTTTGGTCTTCCTCCGCTCCTAGCCGGGCCCCAGCACGTGTCCGGGAAGCAGTGGCTTCCCAGACTCAGCTACTGTAGGAGCACACGAATGGCAGTGCCCATTGTGCCCTCCTGTTCCCCACAGAAAATCTCGGTCAAAAGGCAATGGGCTCCCAGTAGTACCCAGCAGTGTAGTGACCTCAGACCCGAAAACTTGCCACAAAACTGTAAGATACTAATTGGAAGCCCTCTGTGGCCGCCAGGTGTGTGTGTTCATGTGCCAGGGGCCCCAGCGGGCCCGCGTCTACTGTTCGGAGCCTCTGTCAGCCACACTGTCCACCTAACACCCAGCTCTGCTCAGAAAACTTAGGTCCTGCGTTCAAGAGAGAGATGGTGCAAAATTCTGAGGTCTGCTTCCCTCTGGCTCGTGGCATGCCCTCCTCGCTCCTTTCCTGAGCCCAGCTTGTGTGGTGCATGAGATCTCACACGGCCCCACTTTCTGCACGGGGTAGAACTTTTTCCCACAGTCACATTGGCAAAGGGAGAACTCGGGGGCGGGCAGGCAGCCAGAATTTCTCTCTCTCTCTTTTTAAAATAGTTTTATTTTGTCTGTCTTGTTTGTTCATTTGGATGTTTTAATTTTTTTTAAATCTTTGCTGATATTTATAATTTTGTATCATAAGAATGTTTTCCTACAGTATTTGTCATGCCAGTTTATAACAAAAAATGCAGGGATTTTATTTCTATTGGAAACACTATTACAGCTGTGTTTTACTTTTGAACAGAATTTTTATTTGTATAGAGTGCTTACTAATGTTAAATAGTTCAGAGTATATAACATGTTCATTAAAGACTCATGGTAGGTGTTAGTGTAAGGAGTTTAAAGGAAATAAATATTCAAACTGGGTCTCATTGTCTGCCAGTTTTGGCAGAAATGGGTTTGTGTCATTTCAATTACAAAGATAAAAGTATGCCATATAATTTATTTATATGAAAATTTATTTTTGTAGTGTACATAGTAGTCATCAAGTCTTTTGACAGAAGTATATTTTTAAAGAATTTATATGTGATGAATCCGTAATGTCTGGAACTTTGCTGAGACATGAGTGGGGCACACTTTTCATTGTAAAGTACAGCAAGGAAAAGAAAATGTTTAACAGTGTTAAGAGAGTGAGAGATTGAGTAAATATTCATGCAATTGTGAAATGTGTATTAGTTACCATTTGTGACCTAGTGTGGTTCTCATTTTAAACCTTGGAAGGCAAAAATGTACAAACTCTCTAAATATTAATGTTCAAACACTGATAGAAATTCTAACATGAATAAAAAATAATATAACTTGTTGGTTATGTCTTTGTTCATAGAATTTTTTTTAAAGATTTTATCAGAGAGAGAGTGTGTGTGTGTGTGTGCGCACGCGCGCAAGCAGGGGGAGAAGCAGAGGGAGAGGGACAAGCAGACTCCGTGCTGAGCGAGGAGCCCAATGTGGGGCTCGACCCCAGGACCCCAAGATCATGACCTAAGTAGAAGGCAAGAGTTGGACCCTTAACTGAGCCACCCAGGCGCCCTTATTCATAGAATGTTTGTTTTTGTTTTTTAAGATTTTTATGTATTTGTCAGAGAGAGAGGGGTTGAGAGAGAGCACAAGCAGGGGGAGCAGCAGACAGAGGGAGAAGCAGGCTCCCCACTGAGCAAGGAGCCCGATGTGGGACTCGATCCCAGGACCCTTGTCATGACCTGAGCTGAAGGCAGATGCTTAACCGCCTGAGCCGCCCAGGCATCCCCATAGAATGTTTTTTTATTTATAGTGTTTTACAAAGGCAGCGTGTCAGGCCACCGTAAACTTCGTTGTTTTGTAACATTGCTTAAGAATCCTTTCTTGTTCTACCTCACGAAAGCATTCTTGACATAAAACTCTAGGTTATTTTCTGACACGAAGAAAGTTCCTAAATACCATTCAAGATGATCCCCTCTGTCATCTCTTAACATTCTTATCTTTTTTATGTGATGCCTAATAACTAGAGGGAACATTGATCAAGACAAATGTGATGATTATTAAAATAAATGAAGGTAGGACGATATGGGACTAGTTGAACCTGATACAGAATGGCTTTTTCTGAGTGTTTATGATATGATTATATCTCATCTTCGTAGTCATGGAGAAAAATAAGACCAGGAATATCCTACCCACCGGAAAGCAAGGAGTGGCGGGGAAGAACTCGAGACCCAAACTGTCACTAATAGCTGGTGAGGGGTCAGCAAACTGCAGTCCCGCGGGCCTCCCGTTCTCATCAAGATTTCTCAGAAGACAGACGCATGCATTGACATACAGATAGTCTGGCCGCTTTCCAGCTAGAGGGGCAGAGTTGAATAGTTGTGACCCAGTGTACAGCCTACGGAGCCTAAGATGATTTACTAACTGCGTTCGCCCACCCATTTTAAGATAGGGTTATCCTGGTTCAGTGATAACTCGGGTGGGGTTCATGGACCAGCAACATTGGCGTGCCTCAGAAGCTTTCCAGAAAAGCAGAATCTTCAGGGCCACCCCAGACCTACGGAGTCAGAATGCAGGGAGTGAGGCCCAGGAATCCATGCGTTAACCAGCTGGTTGGTTCTGGTGGTTTGGATGCACCAGCAGAGATGATCCCTAAACCCCTTCTGGCTGCATGTGGCCATGGGTCTCTCTAATTTGACTCGGGCTACACAGCCAGCGCAGGCCAGATCTGAAAACAACGGAGAGACGCCGACTCCTCTGTGCTTGTCTTTCCGCAAAAACACACGTTCATCCATGGGAAAGAGCGGAGACCTGCCAACTGCATTTGTGTCTGGGAGTCCAGAGAGAGGAGTTCCTTTTCAGTGTTCTGCCATCGCTGTGGGGCAGGATCCCAGTGGAGGGTGTGGGCTCCTGACCTCACAGGCAGGGGAGGAAGGCCGCTCCAGGCCAGACCCCTGTCTGCCCTTGCTGCTGAGAGGGTTGCAGGTGACCCGCTCTGACTTGGGCAAGTCGCTTGAAACCTTGGAGCCTCCATATCCTCATCTGTGTATAAACTAAAGAGAATGCATGTCCTTTGCAGACTTCTGAAGGTCGAAAGCAGTGATGGTTGTGATGAGGTCTGGCCCAGAGGGAACCTCTGTGGATCCCACACTGAATAATCCGCTTGGGTAATACAATGTCCTCCTTAATGGATGCTTCATCAAAAAACAAAAGTCAAAGTGTTAAGCAGGGTTTCCTGTCTTATAACCTCATCCTCCTCTCTCCTGGTCTAATCAACAGTCTGTTCCTAAAGCCCTTCGGTGGTGAACTTCATACATAAGGCTCACATGGTCATGGGGAGTAGGTACTCCCTGAAACTGAGCATGGAAAATATTAATTGCATTAATTGGAATTCAAATTGAGAGATGCTTTCTTTTAGACGTGTTTTATAACACCAAAATGACCATTCATTGCCATCCAATTTTATATTCT